TGGCCAATGAAACCCCTGCTTGTGTTTACTGGGTTGCTCTTCCCTGAGCAAAAGTTCTAACATTTGGTAGGTTTAGTGGTCTAACATGTTTCAAGTTGGGGGAACCAAAGGAAAACAATGTCGCTCCCGGACACACACGCCACATTGCCAGTCAGCCCGAACTTGGAGCTAACCCACACTCCCCGACGTCGCCCACACGCCACACCAAAACAAAGCGCTCCTCTGGAATGTCTGGGCTGGAGGGCTTAGGGCTTGCAAAATGCCCAAGTCTCCGTACTCTTTGGCCTCATTTGGAGCCGGCCTGGGGCTCGGTCCAGACGAACGCCCTGGGTTGCTAGGAGGGAGAACTTTCACAGGAACATGATGTGAAAAGACAGCCATGATCTACAAACGAAGGGAGAACTTGGCTCTCGGGGATTAAAGTACAAGAGACAAAACTCGTCGTACTCTGTCAGAACCGTCAAGAAGTGGATGCCTGTGAAAGCCGCGTCTCAGATAGATGGCAAAATTGCTGTTCTCTTGTCTAGACACTTTACCCTAAAACAGTCACAGTCACAGTTGCTGGGCAAAAACAGAAACTGACGATCCAGGTACTTTTTCAAATGGTCAAAAGACTTCGCTCAAAGCCTATATGATGGGGCAGAATCAGGGCTGCGCAATTTTTTCCCTTGCTGCGATCAGAGCCTCGCAAGGGGAGACATTGCAACCGGAATAGGCGACTTAACACGGCTCCTCTTGCGAGGCTGTGAATCAGTATGGGAGCAGGGCCGCTTTCTGTGACAATGGAAACCCTGAATGCATCAACCCGGCGGATTATTCGGGGAGCCTTCTCCTGAAGGATCCCCGCAAAAAGTGGGACACCCCCCTCTTAGTCAACCTGGGGTTTATCGATCCTGTCTTCACATCAGGGCCACTTTCTGTGATTCCCTTGGCGAATCCCCTCGAAGTTCTAGATGGGAACCCCATTCCCCCCCCCCCCCCCGTCCTGGCTCCGTTTTCCAAGACCGTGTGTGTGTGTGTGTGTCTCTGTGTGTGTGTGTGTCTGCGTCCCCTCCAGCTGCTGTCGAATTGCTCATTTGTGGTAGAGTTCACAGTGGGTTTATGCCTGGTTTGATGTTCAGGCTGATTGGAGCCTTTTCTTTGGCTACAGCCCTCAGAACCCGGTGCTGCTTTTATGGTGTCCTTTAAATGGAGATCCCAAACATCCCCCAATGGATGTGAATGCAATCTTGATGCTGCTTTCATGTGCTGTAGAAATAGAAAGAGAGTGGAGAGAGGCTTTGATGCAGGGAACCATGCTCATATGTTCATGGGTCAAAAGCCCGTACCCCCAGTGAACATCCCAATCCCCACTAAAATAGATTCGCTCCCAGGCCCTCGCCCCTCCCGCACCTCCGGCCGCGCGCGCTGGCTCCGCCAGGGCGGACAGCAAGGCCTGGCGCGCCTTCTCCAAAGACACGGCGACGTCCTCCTGAGGAAACATGATGGGTCAAAACTAAACCACCAGGGGACCGCAGGTTTCAGCCCATTTCTCCAATTGCCAGGGTTCCATTTTTGGTACCTATTTTTGACCCACAGCCACATCAGCGAGCTGCGAACCCATTGGTGGCTTGGGTTGTTGGCTCGGACATTCGGCATTACCTTTCCCATTTGCCTAATCAAAAGGATATCAAAAGGAACAAAAGTTCACTCGGGCACGTTTTTTTTGAGACTCGGTAGCCTTCTGGGCTTATTTCAACGGACAATCAAAGGGAAACCGAGTTCCATGTTTGGGTAATTTTGGGGGGGTCCCCTATTATCAGACATGCCCGCATGTGAAAAAGGGCCGGCCAACGAGAACAACGGGAGGCCTCAGCGGAGAAACCCACTGGTGGAGTTTGTGCGGCCTTACTTAGAGGGAAGCGAGGGCTTAGAGGACAAGGTTGGGATGTGAAAAATGGGCCGCTTCCTTTCTGTAAGAGCAAGGTTGTTGATTCCCACAAATATTGCTGGTGTCGCTTTAACAGGGGGTTGCCTTGGTGTCACGGGAGCAACACGAGCAACGAGATCCCGGTCTCGTCTCGGCCCTACTGGTCCCGTGTAGGATATAGCATCCCCAAACAACCTGCTTTACCGATGTTTCAACTAGCCCAAACAGATCAACAAGGTTCCATGGTTGGGTTGCATAGCACAAGTTTTGCCACCGACCAGGCCGAGTCGGTCCGGAGAGTGGTGCTTGAGGGGTCCAAAGAATCTGGCTTTTGGGGCTGGGTAGTACGTAGAAGATGCCCAAAAAAACACAAGGGATGACTCCTTGCTTGTGTTTCCCAAAGCAAAGAATGAAGTCCAAGAGCTCAACCCTACCAAGGTCCCCCCCAAGCATCGCCCCAGTAAGGCATTGACAGTTGGGGGAAATGCCTTTCAGGAAATTGACCCTGCCAATCCCATCCCCCGGGAATTTGGAGTTTAAACAGCCTCGATGGCAGGGCCCCTAATTTATGGAAACTGATGGCCTTCTGGGAAATGACATGGGTGTTCACCTTTGATAGAGGACCCTTTGCCGGACATCAACATCCGATGGGGATTGATGCCCGACCACTTTTGAGGTGGTGCCAACCCTCAATATTTTACATATATATATATACATACATATATACGGCATGAGATGCATTCAAAGCTTTCTGGAAGGTAAGGAACAGTTTTAAAAAAGCAAGAAGGATGGTAGCCCGGCCATGCAAATTCGGCTTGCGTTGGGCCGCCATGTTTAGGCCAAATGCTCAAGGGACCAATGGATTCCAATCCAAGACGTCAAAGCAGAGTTGACGGATCATGGTTGGTTCTTGGATCTTCAACCAAGTTAGCAAGGGAGTGTACAACCATAGTTCTAAGGAGACTAACCCCAGTTACCCAGTTACCCCAGTTCTATCCATGACGTTGGTTTGGAACCGCTTTGGACACCGACAAACTCGGACGTGCGGTCAAGGGGAGCTTGCCATGAACAAAGCAGTCGGGAAGTTGTGCGATGGGTTAAGCAAACTCCTCTGCTGGGTGTGTTTCTATCTACCCCAGAAGTGGTAGGCTCAAGGGAAACCACCCCAGTTTCTGACATTGATAAGCCCCAGAAACAGTCAAAATTATGTAAAAGTAATGACACCAGTCAAAAGGGCTTGTTTGCAGGAACGCCTGATATGGGATCCGCATTGGAAGGTCAAGAGGCAAAATGGCTGGGTCATGACTAAGAAGCGTGTTTCCTATAGGGTGCCGGGTTCCAGGTGTCCTTTCCAGCCCTCCGAAACAGATCTTCCGGTTTTAAGGAGCACCACTGTCCTATGCTGTAAAGACCCCCCAAAAAGAAGTTTCCTCTTCAACCCAACAGCTAGCCCACGCATAGATCCACCAAAACGCATACCTTTATATATATATATATATATACCCCCCATGAACTACCTTTCCTGCACTGCAAGCGCTCATCTGCGCTCAAATTCGTCATCTGAGAGACTTCCTCCCAAACCATCCAACATCTGCATCTGTCATCCCAACAAGCAAATCATTTAAACATCTAAGCTAATATAGAATTCCTCAATGTACATCAAGAAATCATCTGTTCCTCGCTTGGATTGGTGACCTTCATTCTATGTAATTAGTGAACTTAGGTGATTTGCTAATCCGCTTACAAGTTGTCTAACTTGAGTTAATAAGTCTGCTAATTCCGACAACACCTTCCATTTTGCTAAGCTTGGCCTATATGAACTGAACACATGGGACAACTTCTGTTTCGTAGTCGTTCGCAGGATTTCGCTGTGTGGTGGTAGCAACTTGTCTGCGCAACTAACACGTCTTAAGTTTACATATTTTGCTTTGAAGGTTAGTCAGTCGTATTGTGCGTATATATTTTGCTATTTTAACATTTCCTGTAAGGTCGCACGTGTCGGTGAGAACGAGTCTGCCGCTTCCAGTCATAGCATGGTCGCTGTGCCTTGGAATGAGAGCGATTCTCAGGTGATGTGCCATTCATGGGGTCCGGAAAGGCAACCATTTGTTTGATAGATCGATCCATGTTCATTGAAGGATGGCTTGTAGACCCGGTCATAGATGAGAGTATTAACCCAATGTTGGATGGGAAGCAACTGAAAGTTACTGCCCCTCGACCTAGCACCGAGTGGAATCTTCTGATGACGAAGTACATTCAGAAGTGATCTTGTCTGTCCTGCGATGGCAAAGTCCGAGAAAAAGATAATATATGGAACAAATATGCCTTATTCTATAAGTATATAGTGGTCACCTTATAAAACAATATATTTTTGTTGTTTTGTCTTATTTGATAGAAAACAAACAAAAAAAGACTCTGAGGACAAGTTTTGGTTTTGGCAAAAGTTTTGTATTTTTAGTTTTCTCGAGGTGTTTATGGTTTCTATCAAATAAAACTAAAAACCAAAAAAACATCGATTATTTTTAGGTTTCTACCCAGAAAACCAAAATAACCCGAGGAAAACAAAAAAACTTGAGAAAACCCATAAAAACTTCTGGCAAAAACCAAGAAACTTTTGCCAAAACCACAACTTGTCCTCAGAGTTTTGGTTGTTTGGTTTTTTGGTGTTTGGTCCATATCGATGAGTTTTTGATTGTGCGCTTCATTGTCTCCATTTAAATTACGAAATTTGCTAAAAACAGGGTAGTTTTTGAATACATTTAGTAAAACAATGCAAAAACTGCGGGTTTTTGCTGACATTTTACAATTAGCGGAATACAACCGCGTAACGGAATCTGTTTTTTCTCTAAATGTTGTTCTTAAGGGGAAAAAAAGTGTTGTTTAACACTTTGTTGATACGCTGCAGGAAAGGTAGTTCATGGGGGGTGACAATATATATATATATATATATATTATCTAAGTTTAAAGTCTATGTGTGGTTCCCAGCTGGAATCATGACGGGGGCGTGTGGCAACCCACCCGACGGGGAACCGCGACGACGACGACGGCTCCGACGATAACATGGCAGGAAACGTGGCAATGTTGACGGTTGCGACGACGGCGACGGACGACGTTGACGGTTGCGACGGCGGCGACGGACGACAGCGTCGACAACAACAAACAAACCGCCTCAAACCGATAAAAAAGAAAATGGACGAAAAGGAGGAAAGAAGGAACTGTCAATGGGCGACAGGGCTGGCGCCCGCAACTGCAACTATGGCTGCTTGTTCCCTTCGCGCGGAGTGGCTGCTTGGCTTCTGTTTCCATCTCCATCATCTTCTCTACAAGTCACAGGCTTGATCAAGTTTGCTTGGCGCATCTTGCGCGTGGACATGCGTTGGCCTAGCCAAAGGGGTCTTGATCAAATGGCGCAGTCACCCGGGCTGACGCGCTTGCCAGCCAGTCCATGGCTCTCATCGTGGCATCAATCTGCTGCGCCTCCTCTTGCTTGCTCGCTGTTGGTCGGGTTTTCGACAGTCGCAATCGGGGCCAAAAGCATGGCGCCCGCGACCGTCGCCGTAAAGTTAACAAGGGGCCGAGCCGACAATGCGAAATAAATTGCAGCTTCAGTCGGCCACTGGTCATAGCTGATCGACTTTGAAAGGAATTGCGAGATGAAGCTGCGTACAAACTGAAAACTTGTGCAAGTTCTCTTCCTTTGGCGTGATGGCCTGCAGCCTCAACAGCTGCCTGCCTGCAACCAACGGCACAAACAAGTCCAGCACGACGGCCAAATTCCACGACTTGACATGCGTGCTGACATTGGGACATACGGACTTGCGCATCATGCGGTTCCCCCATTCTACTAGGAAGTTTGCGTGCTAGTTGAGGTGCTAAGATCTGAATGGCAATTTTGAACACAACCGCAGTTCGGCTGGCTGGGACCCAGCGATCTTCGTGAAGACTGGCAAGTCCACCGTATACTGGGCAGGGCGCTTCAATGTGTGAAGCTTCCTCTGCTCCGCGGCCGTGATCCTGAGCGCGCAATACACTGGCTCACAAGGCCAAAAACGAGGCAGGCTGAAGCAAACGCTACAGTGGTGGGTCCTAGCGGGTCTGACAGAACGCGTGTGTGTGGGCTCTTTGTTTTGAAAGCCACGAGAGCCTGTGCCTGGTTCATCCACCTGAGACAAACGAAAACATAGCTCTGCAAAGGCAAACATCGCAAGCTAGTAGGGCTGAACTCGCGCCACGCAAGCACGGCAACTGCAGGCGATGGCAACAGGGGCTGGATATGAAGCGTAGCTTGCGTTTCCTCAGGCTATGCGTGTCGTCGGCTTAGCTGCCGGACACGTGGGCCTGAGTGACAACGCAATTTTGCTGCTCTGCAAAGAATACAACCAGACCGAGACCACGCCGGCCAGCGCAAGGACATGTTTGCAGAGCCTTGTCAGCATTGAGTTAATTCTGATGGCTTGAGCCAAGCGCGCTGCCGTGTTGCGTGTCACTTCCAGCCGCATGCCTCCTTGAGGCAACGGTATTGGTTTTTTTGTGTTGGCAGACTACGAAGAGCTGACGCTGCGCGCAAGGACATTGCTCTCTTTCTGAGACAGGCTTCTTTCTCTGGAAGGGGGCAAAATAAAACAGACTTCTCTTGACAGCCGCTTGTACGGGGGCGTCCTGACAGAACTTCTTAGGCGTTGTGACGATCAAGAGGTCAGGCAAGAAGAGCCGTCGATGTCGCCAGTCGGCGCCGTCAATGTCGTCAGATAGCGCCGTGAACGTCGTCAGTCGCAAAAATAAGCCATATTTTTGTAAAATAGGCCTTATTGTTGGTAAAATAAGCCTTATTTTGCCAAAATTAAGGCAAATTTTTGCGACGGACGACGTTGACAGCGCTGACTGACGACATTGACGGCGCCGACTGGCGACATCGACGGCTCTTTCTGCCTGGCCTCCTGACCGTCTGTCAGGATGCCCCTTTACAAGCGGCTGTTAAGAAAAGTCTTCCTCAGTTCGCCAACTTCCAGAGAAAGAAGCCTGCCTCGGAAAGAGCGATGTCCCTGCGCGCAGCGTCTGCTCTTCATAGTCTGCCGAGGAAACACGTGCCCGGAAGTGACACGCGACACATGTCTTTGCGCTGGCCGGCGTGGTCTCGGTCTGGAAATCTCCGATTGCCAGCATGCGGCCAGGGCAACCCGCTGCAAGATCGAACTCTTTCACACTTGCGGTGTGCCTCGCGCTTGACCTCATCCAGACGCTGAAGAAGGACCTGGCCACACGCGTGGCGCATGAAGGCGGTGGAGGACGCGGGCGCCTTCCGAGCGCCGACGAACGCGGCGAGGAGCTTCAACCCTCAGTACGGCGACGTGCAGCAGCTGGGGGCCGTGGACTCCATGACCGTTGCCAGGTTCCTGCGTAGGCTGCGCGCCACCGCCCTTGCCTCAATTATACTCTTTGCAGAGCAGCGAAATGGGCCTTGCGTGGGCAAATCTCACTCAGGTCCACGTGTCCGGTGGCTAAGGCGACGACACGCACAGCCTGAGGAAACGCAAGCTACGCTCCATATCCAGCCCCTGTCGCCATCGCCTGCAGTTGCCTTACTTGCGATGTTGGCCTTCGCAGAGCTATGTTTGTGTTTTTGTTGTTTGTCTCAGCTGGATGAACCAGGCGCAAGCTCTGGTGGCTCTAAAAACAAAGAGCCCAAATATACGCATTCGTTTGGTCAGACCCGCTAGGACCCACCACGATTATTGGACTTACTATTGGAGCGTTTGCTTCAGCGTGCTTCCTTTTTGGCCTTGTGAGCCAGTATGTCTTTAACTGCACGCTCAGGATCACGGCCGTGAACCAGAGTGAGACTAACACAATGAAGCGCCCTGCCAGCCGAAGACCAGATCTTCGTCGAGGCCATTGACGGCGTGGTCCGGCTCACGGTTGCTGGGCTGCGGTTGTGTTCAAGATTGCCATTCAGATCTTCGCGCCTCAATCGTAGAATGGGGGAATCGCATGACGCGCAAGTCCGTATGTCCCAATGTCAGCACGTCATGTCAAGTCGTGGAATTTGGCCGTCATGCTGGACTTGTTTGCGCCGTTGATTGCAGGCAGGCAGCTGTTGAGGCTGCAGGCCATCACGCCAAAGGAAGAGAACTTTCAGAAGTTTTCAGAAGCGCAGATGGGGCATTTAAATGGCAACATGTGGCTTGGCATTCACAAGCCGGGCAGTTTTGCGCAGCCTCATTTCGCAATTTCAACCTCTGACTTTGACATGTCTACATGTCTCCATCTAGTTGTTCACGAGTTTGTCAAAGTCGATCAGCTATGACCAGTGGCCGATTGAAACTGCAATTCATTTCGCGTTGTCGGCTCGACCCCTTGTCCGCTTTGCAGCGACGGTCGCGGCCGCCATGCTTTTTGGTCCCGATTGTGGCTGTCGAAAACCTGACTGACAGCGAGCAAGAGGAGGCGCAGCAGATTGATGCCATGATGAGAGCCATGGATGGGCTGGCAAACACGTCAATCTGGCCGCCTGGCTGCTGTCTTGTCTGGCTCAACCATCATCAAATCTGTCCGTCGTCCTATCCGTGCCCCGCTGATCTTCGTCAAAGCCGTCCGTCGCCCCATCCGTCATCGTCGCCCTTGCCCGTCGAGCCCTTCGTCATTGTCAACATTGTCCGTCACACTGGCCGTCGTTGTCGCACTCCCTCGTCACCCTACCCGTCGCCCTAACCCGTCATCGTCTAAAATGTCGCCGCAACTCTCCGTCAAGAACCCTCTGGAACACTTCAAAACCTACCTCACATAGACCTTAAACTTAGACAATATATATATATATATGTAAAGCTATCGCCAACCCTTATCTTGTCAATCTACACTGTATTGCCACCTTGAAATGAGGGGAGTCCATCATTATTGATTCTCGCATTGAATCCGAACATGTTGATCTCAAACACCCAACATTTACCTTGGCAATTTGCCAACCATACACTCCACCTGAAGCCGGCCAACCCTAATGCCGCACTAACCAGCCTACCCCAAAGCCACCCAAAACCAGCCCTGCTCAGCTTGAACCAACCCTGAAGCCACCCTAACCTTGCTAATTTACTATGTTGCCATCCCCCCAAAAGAAAAAAATAAAAGACAGTTGCCCAGTAAGCCTTGGAGAAAATGTGAAGCGGGAGGGTGGAACCCGAACTCCGAGAAGGATACCCATGCTTAGCCAACCCTAAGGTATGGGTGCGTCTCAGGACCCAAAAAAATGATGCCGGGCTTCCTTGTGGATTTCCCTTCCAACCAAACCCGAAGGCAAGCCCCCATATGCCCACGGGCCGGGCTGAAACCTAGCCTGGCTCTTGAGCAGAAGCCGCTCAAGCTCCATGAAGGCACCCAGGGGCTCCTGAAGGCGAGGCCAAAGGCGAGGTGGCGAGGTGGGGGGGTGGGTCAGGTTTGGCTCTTTGCTCCTTGGCTTTATGTGTCATGAAATCGAAAACTCTTGTGGCGGGGTCCGTTTCGGTTCACGAATGGTTCTCTGAAGAGAAACCGCGCATGGTTTTGCCGGCTAGAGTAGGGAGGGTACGGCCAGACTAAAAGGTTGAGAACCATTCTTACCAGGAGTGTCAAATGACCATGACTGTTGACATATCCGGTTCTCGGATCAACGAGCATAACTCTCGGCACCGCTAACAAAAAAAATGCTCAGGAAAACTGTTGGGGCCTAAATAATCCTCGTATAGCGTTGCGAGGCACAAGAGTAGAGAAATCGTTTCTGTCCAACAGAACTGCGGGACAGCGAAGAATCATGTTCTACCGTTGGGCTTTGATCATCTTGTGGCCCAGAGCGACTCTTGGCCCACAAAAAAGAGGTACACGGAAAATGTGGTTTTTGATTTCTGTTTAAAGCTTGGGTGTGTCTTACAATGGGGGACCCAAAAAAAGGTGGTCTTCCCTTTAATTTCCCTTTGAAACCACCCCAAAAAGGGTACCCGGGAAGACACACACCCATTTAGTCACCCTGGAATTTTAGTCGCGGTCTCCTCCCGATCTTTCTGCTCTGCCCCCATGGCCGACCGCCCAGCTCGGGAAATCGGCCACGGGCGTTTTGCCGAGGGCGAAGGGCCAGAAGGGGGCGAGACTTGTTAGGCCTTGGAACTCTGTGTTTTGTTTCTGGTGTCTTTGGGTTTTGGGTTGTTCCCGTGGGTTTGCTTCTGCGGCTTGTGGCTTCCTAGCTTTTTTGGGTGTGCATGTGCTCCTCTCTTCCTTTTGCTTCGGAAACAAAGCGTGCAGCAGTTCAAGAATGGGTTGGCAAACCGCATTCTTCCCTTCGGACCCGCACGTTAAATCGGCCCTCGAGCCGAGTTAGATACCTCCGAAGGCGGCTCTGCCAGCGAAGACGTCTGGATTTTGGTAAGGAACCCCATGTCCTAGTGGATTTGTTGTCAATGTGTCCAATGTAATCATCTTTACTACCGTAGATGACTTCATGAAATCAGGGTAAATGTCTTGCTGCTTGAGTGCGGTCCACCAGGGACTTTTGTCCAATGTCCGGACATTGGATCGAAGATCTCCGCTCACCAAAGAAAACCAGCGCCTCTCTCAACCAACGCACCATGCGTCCCAAAATCAAAACTCTCAGACTCCATGGATATGAATTGGTATGTGTTAAACTAAGGTACCCTCAAAAAACACACGCCCAAAATGAATTTCGCATCGTGGTGGTCTAACTTGCCGGTCGCCAGAGGCGTTGAACATGTCTCTGTTTGCAGCCTGTCGGGAGAGGCTGCAAACATGTCTGTCTCTCTCTCTCTCTCTCTCTCCCTCTCTATCTCTCTTTGCAGCCCTCAAAGGCTGCTTTCGCGCTTTGGAATGTCTAAATGGGAACTCGAACACTGCCAAGGAACAAGCTGGAAAAACTCCCGCGCGCCCTTAACTTGGCTCCAGCCTTTCAAAAAAATCGGAGTTAAAACACCCAACAAACATACGAATACTCTCCCTTTTGGGGTTCATAAGAAACTATTGTCGCTTCCACTGGGATTTGAATCCGGATGGTGCTTTACTTAAATGCATGAGTTACCCCTGGTTTTCACTCATTAGGTGCAACAATGGAAACCTCAGGACACACACACCGGGACCCCCGAAATCCGGATCCCAGAACCCCCAAGAGTCGGGGCGTGTTCGCTGAGCATCCGAAGACGGTCGCGCCTCGCGGGAGCTGATTAAAAACCGGGAAACAGATCTGACGTAGACCGGGAAACAAACCCAAAACGATGAGCCCGGACAAAGGAGCACCTTTTTGGGGGGTGTGTTTTTTTCCCGAAAACAAACGGAAACTCATCAATTTGGGTGGTTCCAAATGGAGACACGATTCTGTGATCCACGACCAACATGTCATGTGCTTCTTGGTTGGCGGAAAGGATGCGGGAAGCCTCGTGATGTCTGGTTTTTGCGTGGCTCGTCTCTCAAATGGACCATGGACTACAAGACTTGCTTTCCCCTTGGATTTGGGCTCCCACAACACCCCGGCCAATTTGTTCACGTCCTCTTCCCTCTAAAGCCAACGCAAACCAACTCAACTCCCGACTTGGATGTTCAAGCTACTTAGTAAGTCGGTAGCCATGATTATTCCATGGTCAGTTAGGGACTAACCCCAATATGAGCAGGGTGAAGAGACCTACCTGCCTGGCCTTGGTTGAACAACCAAGCGGTCCCTGCTTCCCGGCAATTCACATGAAGGCCCGGTTCCTTTCTGTGAGAAGAGCGGCTTCCCATGACTGCTTGATCACTTTAACGGCATCTTGTTTTTAGGGGGTTGTGCTCTTGGTTTCCCTTCAAGAAAGAACACACCCTCAACGGGTTTTCTCTTGGTGCAGAACAAGCTGCAGGGTGATCACCATCTGATTGTGCTGCAGGCCCCTGGTGTACAGCATCTGCCGTTGCCCTGACCGCAACCTCAGCTCGCGGAAGACACCAACCCCTGTTGACCTCATCTGGCCCACCTTGACGCCATATGTTTGGTGTCCTTGGCCTTTCCCCATAAGCCTTAACCCTTGAAGAGCGGGAGAAGCAAGTGGTGTCGGGGATACTCAAATGGTCCGGGAGGTAGCTGAAAAGTTAGCAAACCCCCCAAGTAGCCTCCAGGGCTCCTTGTTTATTCCAACGCCGAGGAGCTCCTGGAAAGTGTCCAACTCTGCGGCGGCATCTTTGCCGAAGGGGTCCAACGGGACCTCGGACCACGTGGAGTCGGAGTCAAACCCCGACATTGGACATGTGGCCGTTGGGTGTGGTATGGGCGATGCTCTGTGTGAACATGGTCATGTGCGGGGAGGGATGAGGGTGTATGTTAAGTTAGTGTTGGCCGGGTTCAAACTACTCGTTTGCCAAGTCGGTTGTACTAAGCCAATCATTGGGCTTGTCGGGCCTCTGTTCTACAGTGGTTTCGGTAAAGTCTTAAGCGAAGCCGGAGAAGTTGGAAGGGAAGCGATCTATACTTGGAGCATTGCTTTAGCAATTGGGGTTCTGCAGGGAAGTACGAGAAAACTCGCAACCGAAAAAGAACGGCGCAACAAAATCTGACTTATTCCTTGATAAAAGTTAAACGCTTCTAGGTCCTCTAAACTTAAAGTCTAAAAGTCTAAGGGTATTTCTTAGTCGCCCAGCTGCTCCAGTCTGACTTAGATCCACCAGCCCCAAGCTCGGCTGCGGAAAAAAAGAAAAAAAAGTCCCCGTGACATCACCCCACAAGGACAGCCTCCCGTCCCTCATTGGCAACCCAGACGGGTAAAACCCACCCGAAAAATATTGGGCCCGTGCGGAGTCGGGCTCCTTGTGCACCATGGGCTGCGAGTTGAACTCCTCGAGGAACTCGTCCACCTCGCTCCGGGAGTTCCAAACCCGTGCTTAGACAGAGTGTTCAGGCAAGTGTGACGGCAGAAGAAATCCCCAAAGAAAATCACATAGAAATTGGATCCCCAGGTAAAGGAGCTGCATGTTCCCGAATCGGTGAGCTTGAGGCCGAACAAGGCCAACAAACATAAGGCCAAAACGGGGGAAGGGAAAGCCTTCAGCTTCCCGCCTCGTCGTCACTCACCTCCACCGTCTGCATGAGCTCCTGATGCAAGAACTATGGATATCCGCGGGGGCAAACAAACAAACCAATAGAACGAAAGGGAAGGGCAGGGAGCGGAACGGACCTTAACGGAGCGGAGGGAAGCAAGAACGACATCAAATCAAAGCCAATAGGCAACCTTAGGCCCTACGTCCAAGTCCGGGTATGCGGGCCAACCAACCGATCGACCAACCAACCTACCAGCCAGCCAGCCAGGGAACCAGACCTAAGAAAAAACCAGCCCGAGGAGAAAAAAGAACACCTCATCCACGCATACACACAAAAACCGAAACTCGCAAAAGCACATAAAACTCTATCAACTCTACCTAACCACGCATCATCCGGCCTCTTCGCCTGGCAACTCCTCCTCCTCCAACTCGTCCTGAGAGGTGATTCGCTGCTTCTTGGCCCGGTGGGAAAGCAAGTACTGCTTTTGCCGTGGCAGGATTCAACCCAGACAGGGGGTCGGGTTTGGGCCCTCCCTGGTTGGGCCTACAAAACCGGAGAGATCCTGGAGATTTGTTTCCTGGCCAATGCTGTTGGGGATACGTGTTGGCTTTAGTTGGCTTGTGTCTGATCTCACCCGAAACATGGATGAATGCTGTCTGGAGGCCCTGGGAAGATTGTTTGCAGAGGGAGTCCAACTGACCTGCTGAGCTTACTCTTAAAACAAGCTGTTCTTTGAGATGATGAAGACACATACCAATCAATCGTAACAGGTTTGTCAGCTCAACACTCGGCCCAACTCTGGGGCTTGCAGAAAACATTCTTTCAGATTGTGTCTCACGTGCTGTCTAGTCAACCCTGAACTCTGAAACATACAGTTTTGGAAAAAATGAAATCCCTCGTCTGTTACCCTTCCCCTCTCACTCCCCTCACGTGGCCTCCTCATCCACCTCCAGGTCATCCCACTCCGCTGGATCGAACTCCATATCCTGGTGATCTGAATGCTCTTGCGAAACCCAAATGGTGTGGGGTGGTTTGTAGGGTCCTTGGGATCTGGAGAAATCCACCCTAATTCTCAGGTTGTGTCTTGGGAAGCCAAAGGAAACGGGCCCCCCTCTGCCCTGCGGGGTTTGAACAGATCAACTTCAAGTTTGTGGGTGTATGGGCGGTTTGACTCCATCTGAGGCTTGATCAAAACTCCTTGTATGTGTCATGGTTGGTTATGCCCTTAATGGGAGCGTGAATTCGCTATTAAGGGATCTGTACCATCCGTATCAACCCCAAGTGAACAGGTCCTTTGACCATGGCACATGTGCGGCTTGCTTCAAACTGTCCAGCCGACGGACAGTTTGCAGAGTAAAACTGAAACTGTTCGCCAGCGATTTGGTCGAGGGAGTTACGTCAAACCTAGCAAATGGACAGGGGAGTCCCTCTCGGCCCACAAGTCAACTCTTTTCAGCAGGAAACGCCCTTGTCAATCAAAAAAAAGTCCGACTTGAGCAAATAGCGGAACGGGGAAGTGTGGCAAGCTACTTAGGCTCCTTTCATTTGCCAGCTGCTCTGGAAGGCTTCCTGAGCTACCCTCTGACCTTGCAAGCAGCAGAGCGACCACAGGTTTCTTGTTCAGGAGACTACCGGACGTACCCACGGCGTTCCCGCGGCGTACCGGCATGAAGTGGAGCAAATGGGCGCAGGTCGTTTGCAAGTGTTTGTGCCTACATGCACATGGGAACCGCCAAAAACTATTGTAGCCCATGTGCCTCTGAGAAAACACAGAATCAACATGCAAACAGGAAGCCCTCCGAAAAAGCCAGCATATCCCAAAGCCTCGTTACACCAACCTTCTAAACTTCCAATCCGCCAAGGTCAAAAGAAGCAAGATCCTGATTGAAAGTAATGAAATATGTTCGGATTGCGCCAAAACCCTGTTCCAGGACAATCTTGGGCAAGTTTCCACTTGTGTCAAAGCAGGAAGGCCCACAAATCCTCTGAGAAGGGTATTGGTGGGTGCCAACTCCCAAAAAAAAATTGTCCAATGCCAGGAGAGGCGGCGACTTATGGAGAT